TTCCCTTAATTTTTTAAAAATATTTATTTTATTTATTTATTTTGGCTGCGCCGGGTCCTGGTTGCGGCACGTGGGATCTTTTCTTAGTTGCGGCATGAGGAATTCTTAGTTGCAGCATGGGAGCTTCTTTAGTTGTGGCATGCAGACTCTTAGCTGCAGCATGTATACAGGATCTAGTTTCCTGAGCAAGCATCGAATGCGGGCCCCCTGCATTGGGAGCGCAGAGTCCTAACGCACTGGACCAGCAGGGAAGTATCTTAATTTTTTTTTTTTTTTTTAAGACAAAACTTAAGTTTTTGGACATCTGAAACTTATGGACATGACATTTCCAAATACTCCATTTACTTATTATTTATTTATAAAAGCCAACAACTCTGCCTCCCAGTTTTCTTATCTGTGAAGTGTGGGTTGTAGTACAGCCTCAGAGTTGTGACAGTTCATGTGGTGAAGAGTTAGAACCGTGCCGGGCTCATGGTGAGCACTATGTGTATGTAGCAGTTTAATCTACAAAGCTATCTGTAGTTAACCAAGTAATTTTAATCATGACTTTGATTTTTCACTCGTTTTCTTAAGCATTTTCTCCTCCTCATTAAGACTTTTGAATAGTTGACAGTGTTTAATCATCAAATTTAAAATTGTAAGTAGTTACGTACTACGTATACAGAGTGCCAGGATCCAGGTTATGGCAGAGTTCCTGCATTCCCAGGATCACAGCATACTTGGAGGGACACAGGACAAAGTGCGAATGGGTGTGGAAAGTGAGTGGTATAGGTACCAAGTGAATGAGCCTTTCAGATGAGGAGCCTGTCTCAGGAAAGAGAGGGGGGAGTTAAGGAATCAAAGGGTGTAGCTTGAACAGAGGATCAGGCTTGGTGGTGAATAGCAGAAGGGAGTAGCTCTGGAGGGGATGGGAGGCAGATGGAATGGAGGCTGGGATAAGAAATTTGGATCTTTTGAATCTACCCCGGTCATGCCTGTTGCTCAGAGGATACAGCTCTTATATGTTTACATGTCCAAATTTCTTACTCATGAAACTGTAAGACCTTTGCTGTAGCCAGCTTGTTCTGCTTGGTTATTTAAACACGCTTTTTCTACTTTGTTTTACTCCAACATATTTTTCTCTCGTCAGGAATGAACGTCTTTACTCTCTCATCCTTCATGCCCCTGTTCAGATTGCTTCTTACATGAAACCTAGACTTAAGTTCAGAATAGCATCACGCTGATTGTTCCACGGGTCAGGATTGAAATGCTGATACAGAAATCACACTTTTATGATTTCCACTGATGGGTCTTTCCTGATGACTCTGGAAAAAATTCTGTGAGCCGACTTCATTGAGGAAGAAGGGTTGGAGTGCTGGCTTTATATCTGCTTAGGGCCTCGGGTTGTCAACCAGATTCAACAGCACAAGTCAGCTGGTGGCTGTTAGGAAGCCTTTCTAACTAGCTCTAGAAGAATCCTGACCAAAATGTCAGAACAGAATGGGCTCCATTCTTGAATAGAGATGACTGGTAAGCCAGGGAGGAACTAAGCCAGTCTCTGGGCTCAGCAAACCACTTAAGCCCATTATCTGTCACATGGTATATGATGCCTCCAGGATGATGAAAGGTTAGGAGCATGGACTGGGGAGCCTGGTGCTGCCACTTACTAGCTGTATGAAGTCGGGCTAGTTATGTAAACTACCCAGTAATAACCCAACAAAGGGCACAATGACTGTGTCTACCTCATTATGTTGTTTAAGTGATTAAATGCTAAAATGTATAAAACACAACATTATCTGTCACATGGTATATGCTAGTATATAAGCATTAGCTTTTGAAAGAGAAAGACTTTGGAAGTTTCAAATAACACAAGTTGTCAGACTTTTTTGTTTTTCTGTGTTTGTTTCTAGAGCTTTATGCTTTTCCTTCCTTTTGGAAGACATTTTCCTCTACCCTTCTAGGTTCTTCTGGCTGGTCACAGGAAGTCTGAGTAACTCACCAAAATGGCCAAAGCCCTCATCTTAAATACTGTCTGCAGCCAAAGACAAAAGAGGATGTTGGGGGTAGTGGTTTGGGACTTCAAAGCGGGGAGGAAGGCAGTCCACATGGGACAAATGTTTGGTAAACAAATATTTGCCAGGCCAGGCAGAGACAATGGGACACAGAGTGGACTCTGATCTCTAAGGCCCTGTTTTCCTCCCACCATCCCTAGCCCGTATTCTTTGCAGATACCTCTGGTGATAGCTCTGTTGTGGGAACTGGCCCTTTATCTAAAGTCTTTTAGGCAGTTAGAGAGTAAGTCCAAGTTTCTTCCTGAGTCTTTTGGGCCTTGATTGTTTTCAGCTGTAAATAATCCGCATGCCAAAGAGACATTTTGGGCTGGCAAATTTTGTATCTCCTCATTCCTTTAAAAACAAATGAAGCAAAACCATAGTACCTACCTTTTTTTTTTTTAAGGGAGTGGCTGGGTAGGATAAAGATCCCTGGAAAGGTCAGGTCTATCTACAGGGTTGCTGGCCAGCCCAGTGCAGAGGTGACTTGGTCCTTCCACCCTCACAGAGGCTTTCTGGGATGAAAGTGTATATACAGTTTTGCCAATGTCACTTAATATTTTAAGTTAAGTCTGTTTTACTGTTAGCAATAACAGTATTTGGATGAAGGAAATAGGCTGATCTAATCTATGATTTCTGTTTAACCTGGGATAGTTATGCTAAAAGGAGCTAGGATTAACTGGCTTTAAAGCACCATCTGGTGGATACCAGGTGTTACTGCAGTTTTTTTCCCTACCTTCCTCCTAGGCTCACCTGTGAGTGGAGAACAAAATACACAAAGTCCTTACTGTCATGGAGGTTTTAGTTTGGGGAGGCCAATACACACACACACACACACACTCTCTCTCTCTCTCTCTCATTCACTCATATACATGTATATGTAGGATGTGTGCTAAAGAACTAAAGCAAAATAAGAAGATAGAGCATGATGAGGAGAGGATAGGGTGAAATGAGGTGACATTTGAGCAGTAGTCATTACTATCTAGGGGAAAGGCTATCTCTTAGCAAAAGAAAAGTGAAGCAAAAGCCCTGAGGCAGAATTCCCTGCCTGTTGGAGGATGACAGTGGCTAGAAATAGGAGTCAAGGGGTCACATAGGACACCCAGGCCGAGCTAAGAATTTGAGCTTTTGCTTGAACGAGATGGGGAGCCTTTGGAGGCTGTGGAAGAATGATGTGAACTTAGGTTGTATGAGGATCCACTGTCACGCTGTGAGAGTAGGACATGAGGTGTGGAGAGCACCATTGCAGAGACCACTTAGGAGCCTCTAGCACTGGGCCAGATAAGAGATGCTGTGGTGACCAGTTTGGAACATATTCTGAAGGTGAGGCTTAGAGTGTTTAATGATGGGTTGTTAAGGCGCCAGAAAGGGAAGCATCACGGATGGCTTCAAGGCTCTGGTTGCAGCAGGAGGTGAATGCTGATGCCAGTTACAGCCGTGGAGTACTGACAGAGACGTGGAGCTGGGTCTAGAAAGCTTTGCCAGACCCAAGCAGGTCACTGTTTGGAAAGTTACAGTTAACCGTTTTGTGGACTACATCAAAACCTTTAAGCTAGTGAGGAAAGTAACTGTGTTAATGGTGAAATAATACCCGTTATTTGCAAGTTATCAGTAAGTGAAATATAACCTTCCTGACAGGACTGTGGTTAGATTAAGCTTATAAACTATGGAATTAACTTATCTTTAGTTGCATATCTAATTTATGGTGTGAGTTGGTAGAACATGAAGGAATAACTGTGGGTGCTGGCATGGGTCCAGACGTTCCTTTTTTTGTGTTTTATTCAACAAACCTCTATTAAATGGCTGGTGTTTGCCCAGGCACTACAATGGATACAAGGTGAATTAAAGTTACCCCTAAGTGAGGTATGCAAGCATGTAATGAAATCATGGTAGTCTAATGTGGTGAGTAGTTAAATAGCCAAAATGTAAGTTCTGAAAAAGAAGCAAAGTAACTGCTTGGGCAGATAAAGAGGCTTCTCCTAAGGAGTGGACATTTGAGTTGGTTCCAGGGGAACAGTTCACCAGAGAGAGAATGGGAAAGAAATCCATTCCAGACAGTACCATCTGTTCCCTGAGGGCACGGCATATAGCTGCAAGGGTACTCTTATTAGTATATGAGTTTGAACCATACAATTAAAATGTTGGGGCCACAGGAAGCAGGAAATAGTAAAGGGTTGCTGGTTCTCATTCCAGGTGACCTGGACTGAGGGAAGACAGGACAGTTTGGGAAATAATCTCTAATACATTCTGGTGAACAGTTGCTATTAGTATCCATTGCCAAAAGGTTGGCAGGTTAAAAAAAAGGGCAGCACAGATTCTAAAATTTAACCTGTCCTACTTCTGTTCCTCTGTAGGTTGGCACAGGTCTGGGGCCTACACTGGAGTTTTATGCACTTGTATCTCAGGAACTACAGAGAGCTGACTTGGGTCTCTGGAGAGGGGAAGAAGTAACTCTCAGCAATCCAAAAGGTAATACTAATCTGTGACTAAGTCAATTTGTTATTCAGTTCAGGTAAAGGGCCCTTACAATTCATTATATATATTTAACTTATAGTAGAGGGCCTGGCTCTCTGACCTAATTTCTTTTCACCTTTGTTTTCTCATTTATCAAATAAGGGAGGCCCTTCCAGCTCTAGAGGACTTCATTCTGTGATCTGCTGTCTGATTTTGAGAATACTGAATTTCTTAAATGTTCTTAATTACCGGGTCAGTCTTGTTTTGGGAAATAGCATCTAAAGTTTGGTGATTTACTCATTTTATAGGAAGCCAAGAAGGGACCAAGTATATTCAAAACCTCCAAGGCCTGTTTGCGCTTCCCTTTGGTAGGACAGCTAAGCCAGCTCATATCGCAAAAGTTAAGATGAAGTTTCGCTTCTTAGGAAAATTAATGGCCAAGGCTATCATGGATTTCAGATTGGTAAGTATAGAATTAACCTTTTTGTCTACAATTTTTTTGTACCTGTGTTCTATGACGGTACCTTAATCCCCTGCATTTAATGCTATATTTTAAAACACTGCTTCACAAACCTTAATGTGCATATGAATTGCTTGGAGAATTTATTTAAAAAGCCAGTTTTGATTCAGCAGTTCATGGGTCAGGCCCAGGTTTCCACATTTTCTTACCAGCATTCAGGTGATACCCAAGTGCCAGTCTGTGGACCGTTCCTTTAGTAGCAAGGGTTCAGAGAATCAGGCAACATTAAGGGTGGTTTTAATTATATATATATTTTTAAGTGTTTGAATCAGATTTTTAATTCAGTAGGAAAAGCATGAGCATGTGGCTAAACTGCAGTAAATTTCCATTATCGTGCAGGAGTGAAAATAACCCAAAAAATTAGTGTTCACAGAGAGGTTTGAATGTTTCTGGACTTTTCTTCATTTTTTTCTTCTCATATTTTCTGAGATACTTTGTCAGTATGTGTAAGACGTTTTCATCTGATGTCAGGCTTACAATTTCATTGTTGTTGAAAGAATGTGCTGTTACTCAGTTCTTTTTGAAGTTCCATTTTTTCCTTTTAGTTATAACTAATTGGTCTTCTACGTTCTTCCTTCCAAATATGCGATAATACAGACTGAAGTGGAATTAAGTTCACTTGGTCCAAAATTGAGTAAGACTCCTCTAAACATCTCTTGGTGTTGAGGTCCTTATGGAGAATATATGTCCATCATTGAAAACTTCTTTTTTAGGGCCAGTGTTTCAGTAGGAATCTTCAGTATTCGAATTTTTTTTTTAACTATATCGGCCCCAAATTGAGTTTAAATGGGGACAGCTTCATGTACTGAGAGAAACAGTTCTTTAAATATGTTTTTTCCCCCTGGGGGTTACTTGACCTTTTAAAATGACCTCTTGAAGTGTCACTTAAAGAATTGAGGCAGTGCTAGAAGCTTGGTGTGACTGTTGTGATATTTGCACCTTCCCTTTCAGGTGGACCTTCCCCTGGGCTTACCTTTTTATAAATGGATGCTACGGCAAGAAACTTCGCTGACGTCACACGATTTGTTTGACATTGACCCAGTTGTAGCCAGATCAGTGTATCACCTAGAAGACATTGTCAGACAGAAGAAAAGACTTGAACAAGATAAATCCCAGGTAGGCTTAGAAAATGAGACAGTCAAGTGGATCAGTTTCTTCTTGTAGAAAGATGAGTTCCTTGTTAAGTGATTTGTATTTGGTCCAGTTATTATTTTACATTGGAAGAGTTTAAATTTTTATTTATTTATAATAACTGAAGCATATGATTTTACGGTTGGTAAGATGACCTGTAATAACAGCAGGTGTTGAACAGACAGCTTGACCAGCAAATAAAACACACCCCTAACTAAAACCATAGGACTCTTGTTTATTATATTTTAGATGGACATTATGTATCTGGGCAGATACTCTATCATACTGAGTTCTTTTAGTAAGCATTTGAATCAATAAGGCTATTCGCAGGACAGATTGATTTTCTAGAAAGATGGCTTAATTTAGGAACAGTTCATCTGTTTCTAGAGAGATCTCAGGAAGGTATTTTTAAAGGTTCATGGTAGGTATCACTGTTTCTTGGTAACATCTGTTAAGGTTTCTCTGTTAGATCTCATGGGTAATCTTGATCTTTAAATCATTAATGTATATTCTCTATACATTACCAAAATTAAATCATTTGAGAATAACAGTGGTTCTGTGTCTGACATTGGAAGAAGACAAAGTTGTATTTTTAAAAAGTGGCATAGAGTCAGACATCTTGTATGGGGGCAGGTAACATGGACCAGTGTTAAATCAACTCCCATTTTGTAAGTTACGTAAAATAAGAATAGAGATTTAAGATTCTGTAGCTAGAAAAAGTGTCACATCTCTTAATAAGATAAAGAGGAGCTTATAGTAGATGGGGTTTTTAGAATACTTTTTGTCGGGGAAGGAGGTGATTTGTAAGAAAATTAATTTTATCTCCCATATTAATCGGTAATTATTAATGGTAATTTTGGGGTAAATGTTTATTAAGAGAAATTGGTGTTTAAAGAAGCCAGGTCCCTCTTTTCCATATAAAACCTGTTGTCTTGGGATTTTTAGTAAGGTTTATGCTTACCAACTTTTAAGGTTTAAATTTTAAACTACTGTCATCTTATTTAAGGTCATCTCTTAGGAAAATAACACAAACACCACCACAGACAGCCCTGCCCGCTCCAGATACAGGACAGCTCGTGGTGCTCTTCCACGAGCCTTACGTGTACTCATTCATTTAATCTGCTGTGAGATTTAGATATTCCCGTTACCCCTACTTTACACATGAGAAACCCAAGGCAGATGGTTGAGTAACCTGCCCACGGTCACATACCTAGAACACCAGAGAGCTGGAACTGAAACCCAGGCTGTCTGCTCTGGAGCCCACACCCTGACAGCTTTTGCAAGCTCTCTTACTTACCCTTGTCTCCAGTGCAGTATGCTGCCACAGTTCTCTTTCTCAAATCTTTGGAGATTTGTTCTTCTCACCTTTATTATTCCTGATGTTACCAATTTAAAAATATAAAATCCATAGCACAGAAACCACACTCCAGAAACTGGCAACTGGAACATGAGGACTGGTGGTGTTCTCACACACCTCACCTCATTATTGATAAAGCATTCAGATGGAGCAAGTTGTCCTGGCTGAGTTTCCACTGGGCAGTTTAAATTCTTGAAAGGCACATGGAAAATGGGCTAAAACTTAGCTTTCAATTTAACGTGTAAGGTTTAGAGAAACAGACAGCTAATTCCTTTTAAACATCTCAAGGGCATATTGTATATTCTAGATTCCTATCAATGATAGCATTTTGGAGAGCTCTCTAGTCAGAGAACGCTAAAATGGAGAGTTTAAGTCCTTTTGCTGAAGAATATTTCAAATGTAAAATGAAAAGTCTTTCTTTGTGTGTCATGCAGTGATGTACCCGAAACTGGGAGAGACCTAAACATGTATTTTTGCAGAGGAGTAAAAATTCTCAACCATGTATTTTACCTTAACTCTAACCCTCCTCTGTGTTTTGAATTATCTGTAATCCTACGCAGCTTTCACTTTCTTCTTTAAAAAATGACTGTTAACCAGAACTTCGTAGCCTTTTTTTTGTTTAAATGATTTTCTGCACTTTGACTGTTTAGCCTTTAGGAATTTCATACTCGGAGGCATCTTTAATTCGGAAAGTCATTTACCTTCTTTCTCCTATAATGGATACCTTCATTTTCAGATAGAATTTGCAGTTTTGTATGTTGGCCTTTGATTCAGAAATTATATTTTATATAAGCCTTTCATGATCTTAAACATTTAAAAAAGTGAATAATACAAACTTTTTAATGTTTGTCTTCAGAGTAGGAGTTGACTTTTCTTAGGGGTTTGCTAGAACCTTTTTTCATCACACTGTTGCTGTATGAATACAAATTTGTTAATGCTGGGCCTACAGTAATCAAATGAAGAACATCTGGGTATTCTTTAGACTTGAGCTTGCAGAGAAAAAAATTCATTATTTATACTAGATAGTGCATTATTTGTATTTACAATTTCCTAACTGCACTGTATTACTCAGTGTTTGCTATATACATGTATTGGATTCATTAAGATTAGCCTAGAATTTTATAAAAAGTTTGTCTGGCCCTATAGAGCCTACCTTCTTAAATTGACCACTGTGCAAATGATTATGGCCTTTCTGTGAAATCTGACTGAATATGGATATGGTCAGACTGAGTAGCGGACAGCTCATTGCGGAGGAGCACTCAGGCTATCTTGTTTTCGCATATAAAAATAATTGGATTTTGAAGTGTTAAGATTATTTCCTTTGTGGTCTCAGTGACTTATTTTTGTGTAGATTATGACAAAAAAAGAAAGAAAAAAATAAGAGCTAAGGGAACCCATAAAATTTATTAGCATATCTTTTATTTCATAAACACAAACATAACTGACTGAATTACTGGGCTTGACCCTCCGCCCCCTTTTTTTTAGACCAAAGAGAGTCTACAGTATGCATTAGAAACCCTGACTATGAATGGCTGCTCAGTTGAAGATCTAGGATTGGATTTCACTCTGCCAGGGTTTCCCAACATCGAACTGAAGAAAGGAGGAAAGGATATACCTGTCACCATCCACAATTTGGAGGAGTATCTAAGAGTATGTACTCGCAGCGCCCCCTGGAGCAAAGGCCAGCTGTGGCCATGAGGGGCTGGGGGGGTCACCTAGCCAAGACTTTCCAGATTCCTTAACCACTGATTTTCAGGATTTAATAAAATGGTTATTATTTTAAACAACTGGATTTTTGCTATATAGCAATTGAGAACCAGAAAAATTTACTGGGAATCCCAGTCCTTAGAACAACATAGTGCAGGACCACAAAATATACCCTGCGGGGGGGGGGGGTGCTGCTCTGAGGCGGGAGAGGGAAGGGAGGGTCGAGTGAAGCACAGGTGCGTGTCCGGTAGCTGCTGCACACCCTGGTGTGAGACCTTTGACGCCCGGGATCGCTGCACGAAGTCCACTTCTCCTGACCTTCGCTTCTGTGTGCTCTTGAGAGAACCTGTCAAATATCTTGCAGTACCTTCTATAACGTTGAACTCTCTCTCTTCAAGCCTGAATACTATCTAATAACATCTCATTTTCTTAGTTTGAAGAAATCAGTGAAAAGCAGCCATCCCTTGTGTTGTCACTAAACTGCATTTCTACCCTTCTATCAAACCACCTAACTTGACCTAATAGCCTTTAACGCTGTCCACGCGTGCGTGCGCGCACACATTTATGTGTTTGGTGAGGCCTTTCATGATCCTTGACCATATTTGTTAAGTTAAGGAAAACAATTTTGTACTGAATACAAATTATGTTTTAGATTACAACCTATGTAAGTCTTTATTATCACTGCTTTTGGAAAAGTTTCTTTTGGTTTGTTCCTGACATTGAATGGAAAGAGCATTGGGTTCCAGACAAAATACCACCTATACCTCCTAGACCTGACTTTTCCACTAACTTACTATGGGATTTTAGATAGAACCTCTGAAAAATTTCAGCTCCAGTTTCTTCATTAGTTTGAGAGAAGAAGATAGCAGAGGACCTCTATTATTTAGTATGCCTAACAGTTCTGTGATTCCTAAGTAATTCCTTTAACAGTCAGTAGGGCTGTGTTCTCATACTACCTACTTTGAGAAAACTAATCTTTCAGCTTACTAGTAAATGATGAGTTAACTCCAAACTAGGTTCTCTGAAAATATTTGTAATAATGCTTGTGTTTTTCTGTCAACAAAATGCTATTGTTTTCATTTTTATCTGAGTAGGTCCCCTATTTCTGAATCCAAAGGGTTAGCCAGAGTCATTGATGACTAGGAGATGTTGGACCAATAACAGATGCTTTCTGTGACGCTTCAGTTTCATGTGACTGCATTCCAGAGTTTACCTTTTTCTAAGTGGAGGCACATACTGCAGAAGGATTGGGCTCTAAGAACTTAACAGGATTTAGAACTAAAAATTGCACATTAAAAATTAAAAACACTTAACAGGTGGTAATTTTGACTCTTGAAACATTATCTTTAATTCTCAATAACATTTTATCCTCTTCGGAAGTTTCATCTGCTTCTCATCTGGTAAGGTAAAGTATAACTCATAGGGATTTTATGTACTGATAAATAAATTTAAAAACACACTAAATATATTAATTTATAACACACATGGCATTTTTTACATTTTCTTATTGGCCAGACCCTGAATTAGAAGTTGACCTGACTTGTCTTTTACTTACGTAATTTACTGGGAGATAATTTAAAAATTTCATTTTTTTTTTTTTAAGTGATCAGGAAGGATGTTTCACTGTAGTTTGCCAAATATTAAATAGGAAAGGAATTTGAAATCTTGTCGCAGGTTTTGAAGGAGTTTTCTTTTTGCAGCTGGTTATATTCTGGGCACTAAATGAAGGCGTTTCCAGGCAGTTTGATTCATTCAGAGATGGATTTGAATCAGTCTTCCCACTCAGTCACCTTCAGTACTTCTATCCGGAAGAAGTGAGTAGCTTGTGTGTAAAAGAAATGGTCATCTCTAGTTCTGTACCTATAATTATCTTAGTGGGGTCTCTCTGTGCTATTTAGTCAAAGACCCCATGGTTGCAAAAGAAAGGTAGATGGTTGGGTGCGGTGGCGGGGTGGATGTTTGGGAAAGTTAAGATCATTTCCTGAGTGAGGAAGAATATTAAATATAATGTATTAAGTGTAATGTATAACATATATAAATAAGTATTAAATATAGTATAAATAATAGAGCATGGGATTCATGTGTGATTGAGTAAGCATAGCATTCTGTTTTTGTTTCTGGTTTTTTTTTTTTTTTTTTTTTGGCTGTGTTGGGTTTTCGTTGCTGCACACGGGTTTTCTCTAGTTGCGGCGAGTGAGGGCTACTCGTCATTGAGGTGTGCGGGCTTCTCATTGCAGTGGCTCCTCTTGTTGCGGAGCGCGGGCTTCAGTAGTTGTGGCACACAGGCTCAGTAGTTGTGGTGCACGGGCTTAGTTGCTCCTCGGCATGTGGGATCTTCCCGGACCAGGGCTCGAACCCATGCCCCCTGCATTGGCAGGTGGATTCTTAACCACTGCGCCACCAGGGAAGTCCCAAGCATAGCATTCTTGTCAGCTGACCCTCGACGCTGCTTGGTGGAGAGTGGGACTTGGGTTTCTGTACACCTGTGGCTGGCGGGGAGAGCCATGGGTCCATAGTAATGAAAATGACACTGGGGAGGTTACTTGTTGTTTTTAAGCTAAACTTTCTGGATTCGCTGAGATGTTGATTGTTTCATGAGCGAGGTTAGTCCTTGAAGTTTTAAGGAAATGTTGCAAATTACCTAGTTGCCAAATCCAGAGAACACTTGTGAGAATGGAGTTAATGAGTTTATGTGCATCATTTTTTTCCAGCCATCTTTACTTAAAGTGCAGCAAGAATCTCAGAAAACTACTCACTGATAGTGAGATGTCATAGAAAGGGTCTGGAAGGTGTTTGGTTTCCCCAGGTTGGAAACCTTTTTGTTTCTTTTTTGAGTACCTAGCTTTAGACTACACGTTTATTACCGGCTGAATCTGGAAATATTTAAATGACTTAACGTTTTCATCTCAATTATTACTTGTATGTCCACTTTGATTTGCTGCTTATTAAAACATGTGGTGTACCTGGCACTTTTAGGCACTAAGTGTCACCTGGAATTGAAAACAGCAAGTGTTCCTTTTGGAATTGGATCCTGGTCCCCACTACTTAGCGGTGTGACCTTACCCAGCTTGTCCTGTCTGAGCTGACTGGCTCATTCATAAGATTGAGATAACCTGTCTCTTACTGAACAAGATACATAAAGTACCTGACAGTGAGTGACACACAGTAGATACCAAATTTCACATGCTCCAAATGGATTTTCTCATAGTGTGCAAGTCATCCTGCAAATGGGCAGTCTACCAGGTGAGAGATGGTTTAATTGCAAACTCAGGCTAGATTTTCCAAGGACACACAGGCATTTTTTGCTTTCTGATATCTGTTCTGTAATGGCTAGCTTGGTCCTAGATGACCATGTGGCACAGAAGGGCCTTTCTTCGCAAAGTGGGAAAACCTACCCGTTTGCTGTGTCTCAGTTCAGCTCTCCTCTCCCACTTCTGTCTCCAGCTCACTGTTCTGTCTCTTGGCTTCCGTTATGGTGTGCCCTCGTGTTTCTAAAAGCCAGGATTTATAAAATCTCCCTGGTTAGAAGTAGATACCAAGTTAAAGCCTCTTAAGAAACCAGAAGAATTAGGAGAACTTCAATTAAGGGTTGGTCTCAGGTATGTTTTGTCTTAGATTAAAGGCTCCCTAGAACCTAGTTCATGCAAATGGGCAGGGCACCTGTTCATGTCAGCTGAAGAAGATCTTGAATCTGTGAATATATGAGAAGAGCACATGGTAAAGAGCACCATGCTGACGTTTTGGGGCTTCTGTAGACCTTTATATTGGCGCGCGCCACAGAACAGAACGTGTGGCATTTTAAGTCAGTGACACAGCTGTGTCCTTAGTAATCTGTTGCCCATGTTTAAACACACAGCTGGATCAGCTCCTGTGTGGCAGTAAAGCAGACACTTGGGATGCAAAGACACTGATGGAATGCTGCAGGCCAGATCACGGTTATACTCATGACAGGTAAGTCCTGGGTTCTGCCAGTTTTCAGATACACACACATATATATACATTTTTTAATTTGTTTACGTATTAAAGGAGGCTTTCTAATATTTTGGCTTCATTTCTCTCAAGACTGCAACTTTAGGACCGAAAGGGTTTTTTGGGTTTTTTGCCCCAAGTATTTCTGTGAAAATGGGCGGGAGGAGGAAAGGTGGGGAATCCCACTGTGACCCCATTACCCATTTTTACGTATAGTAAAGTGGAAATATCTGTACAATCCCAGACAGGTCTTATTTATTACAACAGTAATCATTCCACTTGAATTCCAACTGTAACAACAGAAACATATTTGAGTGCTTTACAATGTGAATTCATATGTAGTCATATTTACATTTGATAGTCTCTAGCTAATTATGAGAGTCAAAACTGTATATTAATACGATGAAGTAACTATGGTGTATTTATTTCTGTTATAGTCGGGCTGTGAAGTTCTTGTTTGAGATTCTCAGTAGTTTTGATAATGAGCAGCAGAGGTTATTTCTCCAGTTTGTGACAGGTAGCCCAAGATTGCCTGTTGGAGGTGGGTACAGCGGTTGATTTATTGTAGCTATGAGTGAGTGTGTGTG